CAATTTTCTAGGTCAACTTAATGCTGATCTACGAAAACTCGCTGTTAATATGGTACCATTTCCACGTCTTCATTTTTTTATGCCAGGTTTTGCACCATTAACATCACGTGGTTCTCAACAATATCGTGCATTGTCTGTACCTGAACTTACACAACAAGTGTTTGATGCAAAAAATATGATGGCTGCATGTGATCCACGTCATGGACGATATTTAACAGTTGCTGTTATTTTTCGTGGTCGTATGTCAATGAAAGAAGTTGATGAACAAATGTTAAATGTACAAAATAAAAATTCATCTTATTTTGTTGAATGGATTCCAAATAATATCAAAACAGCTGTTTGTGATATTCCTCCACGTGGACTTAAAATGTCTGCAACGTTTATCGGTAAGGATTCAACAAGAACAAATTGTTTCAATTTTTTATGATGATTGCATTTTTTTTTTGTTATATTTTAGGTAATAGCACGGCAATTCAGGAATTATTCAAACGTATTTCGGAACAATTTACGGCTATGTTCCGTCGTAAAGCATTTCTTCATTGGTACACTGGTGAAGGCATGGATGAAATGGTGAACTATATTTTTTCTATTTCTTATTTCTCATCGTTTTTGTTTTTGATTTCTCAGGAATTTACTGAAGCTGAGTCGAATATGAATGATCTTGTTAGTGAATATCAACAATATCAAGATGCCACAGTTGAAGGTCAGCACATTTATTATTGTATCTCATCTATATTTCAATTGTCTTCTCTATTTTGTTGTAGAAGAGGGTGAAGGTGGTGAACAGGACGAGGAAGAACATGCATAAATGGCAATGGTGATCGATATCACAATCTTTTTTCCATAACAATATTCAACATTTTGATTTTTCTTTTTCATTACAATACTATCTCCTTTTTTCGGTTCGTCATGTATACGTGACTTTGGAACCACAAATATTCTTTTCTTCATAAAGTCTTGTTTACATTTATTACTGGTAACTACAGCTCTGCTTGGTCACGATCACAATTATAGATGTATGTTTCTGACTCTATTCCCAGAGATTCGGGAACATATAGTGACTTGCCGCAAAATGAAAGGAAAGGTATGCCCATACATCTTGACATGTTCGAAAACGTATAGAAACAAATTGTCAAGTGAAGGATTCTGACACCTTATATAAAGGTCCTAATTGAACAGCTTAAAACACAAACAAAGTCTAAAATCTAAAACATATTTTTTTCACTTGTTAAACAACGAGTATATTGAATTATGAATGTCACGATGACCGAGTACCGGTCCACTACCAGAGGAGATTAGTTACCGTTATGATATGTAGTAGCGAGTAACAGAAAATTTGTGTAGTCTAATTTTCGGTCTCGAGTGACCTATTTTGCGAAAATAACGATTTCTTATAAAGTATGAACAACGGTTTTTGAGGCCAAGAAATTCGATTCTATTACTGATTTCTTAAAATTTTCAAGTTTGATGTTTTCACCAACCACGCATTGATTCACATTCCTCGGGTCTGAACACCTTTCATCAAAATTCATAATAATTCGTCATATTCTCAAAATAGGCTTTTCCTAATCGAAAAATCAAGCTCATAGGGTTTTCATGACTTGTCACAGGATGGACGTGCGTGTGAGTTTTGAGTATTATTCTTATCTTCACACCTACCCAGGTGCAAAAATCGTACGAGGATCATATAAGATCTTATACGATCTTACTGACAATTAGATTTTGTAAGATTCAGATTGTATGATCTTACGAAATCTTGCAAATTTCTTGTTCTAAGATTTAATATGATTCTTATTATAAGATGCTAGCGTCAATCTTATATGATTCTTGATATAAGATTCTTGCAAGATCTGAGGATAGGAGTCTTGTAAGATATTGTAGGATCTTGTCAGACCATAATTTTAAGATATTTCTCATGCAAACTAGTTTTTATAACGATAGGTTTATAGATGTGGATTACTACACGTGTTTAAGTGATGGAATGCTTCCTAATAGAAATATCATTTCTTTTTAAATTGCAAATACACGTTTTGTATACAGCGATGCTTATTATAAAAACAGCACACTACTAATCAATTTGATTTGACTTGATTAAGTTTATTATTGTTTTGAATTTTATCTCGTTAAATTCATTTTATCGTTTATTCTTATTGAAAAAAACATTTTTTGTATTTGTTTGTAAAACTGTAATTAATAATAATTCTCTAGTGTAGAGGACATGTAAGCTGACAATGGCTAATATATACTATATATATGAGCGAGAAACCGTTACATTCGTCTTATATTCTGGTATGGTGGAAGAAATTGCACGTCATATATTTTTTCAAAAATACAACTAGACTTTTTATATTAATTTATAATTCTTCAAAATTATCCAGTTTTGTTTTAGATATTTGAAATTCGTATCGATCTTATTTAGTCTTTGTGGTTTCATCGACTGAATTTCGATATTTCTGGTTTATTTTGACTCAAACTAATGATGAAAAATATTATTTTATTTTACTTTCAATCAATGTGAAAGGAGTTAGTTTCATTTGATGTATATGCTTAACTTATTTCAGTTAAGATATAATTAATCTAAGAAGATTATCTACTTATAGTCAAAGTAAAATGAAAGCAATTTAACACAACTATACTTGTTTTACAACAAAACAGGTTCATTTTCATAAGATTATTTATTTAATAGTCTGGGAAAATAAAATAAATTCAAAGTGAAGAGATTAATCTTACTTGAAATAAAGTTAAACTAATGGAATTATTGCATTTATATTTTTTTAATGCAAAATTAATATTCAATTTGATAATGTTATTTAGAATTTACATTATATGGAACTAAATTAACCTAATTTTGTCATTTTATTTTATTTCGATTGAAATAAAATTAACATACTAGATTTTTTCTACAATTAAATTAAATTATTTTATCTGATCATTCCAACTAACACAAAATAAATATAATACAATTATTCATTTATGATTAAAATAAAATCAAGGAAACCTTATCCAATATAATTTGGTTAAATCCGTTTTCCAAACTACAACTCTGTAATTAATTAAGTCAGTTTCAATATCGAACTCTACTCTATATACTGGTGGTCGATTATTCGAGGACGAGCTTAAAATTAACATCAAACCGAACTGTGATCTGTTTTCGATAAAACTACGCATTACTCATTGCATGTTTTCATGTGGAAATGATAAATATTTTTTTTATTTAGAAATAAATTTAGTCTGAGACGAAGTAAAATGATAAAAATTTCGCGATAAATGTTTTCTCTTGAAACAAAGAGTTTGAAGAAGGTAACTCAGCCTGTTGAAAAATTAGGTAGAGGTGATGAAAAGTGCAAGAATATCAATCATGCGATGCATCCTATAGTTGTATAGAAGCATGTATGAATAATGCAAGATCTTATCAGATCATACAATAAGATCATATAAGAATCGTACAGTACGATATGATCAGATGTGCAGGCTTTATGACTATCTTATAAAAATCATACAAGATCGTATATGACTTTCATACGATCTTATATGATCATATAAGATTTCACAGTAAGATCTTGTAAGGTATTGCAATATCGCACAAGATCTTATTGTCGGATTCTTCGACCTGGGTACATCCACACTCAAAATATAAAACTGCTTTTGGCTAATTATTAATATATTGATCTCTATCGATTTTGAACATAGTCTGAATTTATCAGCTAAAAATGTTCTCTTCAAAGGCACATGCAGAGGATCATAATTGAATGATTGAGCAAGTCTTCACTCGTGATTTTTTAATGAAAACATTGATATCCGATTATTTAGATATGCGACCTACATAGTGCTAAATTGAAAAAGTCTAAAGTCGTATAAAATACAAAGAGAGAGTGTCGTCAGAAATTAACGTATTCGATAAACGATGTACTTGCATCTGTCATTTTCTTTTTTTTTGTTGTCACATTCTAAATTGATAAGACATCGAAGTGCTTAGACGTCTGCATATTAAAAGATCGGCCCTTTTCTGTTATTACTTTTTATCTAGTGATCATACTATTTTACTATTTCTCTAGTTTGTAATATCCAACATAAGGTATCCATTTTTAGTCTAATAGAAAGCAAAGCCTAAGATAATATTGACATAGTTATATGAAATTAAAATCGCGGAGAATATGGATGAGTCGTGTTATTTAAATTTTTTGTTTTTTATTTCTTTATTTCAGCCAAATATACGTTGCTAGTCACAATACTTACATCATTCGAATCCATTTGGTAAACCTGAAAGAGCATCAGAATAAATAATGAATTTATAATCATTGGCGAATAAATTATGACTCGATCTATTCGAATTTTTTACTACTGCTAATCTATTTCGTGGTCTCATTTTTTTCCGTTTTGATTCTCTTTACTTCTTGATCATTTT